GCTGTACTGCCTCCATGACCAGTAACAGACCTTCAGTGAGCTGCTTATGTGTGTGTATGCATCTTTCAAGCTGCTTTTTCAGCTTGTCTCTCTATTGTCAAGGCCCCTCCTGTGACCCCATGTCTAGACAGTTCCTAGTACCACCACAGGCTGGCTCCAGGCTCCATCTGGCACAGCCTGATCTGGAACAAGCAGCCCTGGAGGCCGGGACTGTGGCACTGCAAGGTCAGCCCAAAGCACAGGAGGCTGCTCCTGGTGGCCTTGGGGCAGCAATAGCAATAATCTTCTGACTGTGCTCCTGAGCAATGCTGGCATTCACACTTACATGCAACCATCCTGTCATTGCCAAGGATAATTAATTCATTTTAAAATCTGGGAGGTCTTGAGCAACAGGAAATTATGAAATAGCATTTCCCAAAGGATAAGGGGTTTACTGTGGGTTTTACCTTAATATTGGCCAATTGACACCTTTAAGTGGCTATAATGCACCTATGGAACAGACTATGGAAAACTGTACCTACAGGTGCCATTTCTCAGCAGGTCGGTTCATGTCCTAGTTCACTTTCTCCATCAACATCAGACAGTTGTTCCTTCCTGTTGAGTCCCTGAAGCTATATTACAAATGTAAGACTATGTATCTTCTGTGTTGCCTCAGCATACAGATTTCTCTTGGATTAAAAAGCAGTTGTAGCTACATGTTACTCTTTTTTGCACATTTAAATTTTATTGACAGATACAGAAAAAAAAACAACAAACCTGCCTCAACTGCAATTTAGACATTCAGACTAACAATCTCCTTTAGCTGCAGCCTAACCCCATCCAACACCATAGAGGTACCTGGGCTTTCTGTCTGGAAGTTCTGGCACTTTTTGTTGTGCTCACAGCTTGAAACAGACATTAGACAGCACAGTAAAAACATTAAAATACATAACAGACACAATCCTAGAAGATCTTGCAATCCAACTATGGCCCAACAGAAAGAGTGAGAAACACAGACAGCAAGCACATCAAGAAGCACTAAAAAAATATCAAATATGGCTGCAGCTCTGTAAAGCTGACTGAAAATGGAATGTGTTATAAAGAATAGTTTAAAAGTCTTTCATTAAACAATTTAATAATATAGAACAAAGGTGGGGGAGGTGCAAAAGGAAAATTTCACTACTTGGACTTAACTGACTGAAAAGGCTGATGTCAGAAAACACAGCACTGAATGATCTGGGCAGGAAATGTGTATATTAGAGATTATGCCTTCATTTATCTAAAGGAATTGGTACAAGTATTCAGTGTACTTCAAGAGCCATAATACTCAATTCTAGTGATTTTCATTTCTTCTAATTAACATATACCCAACAAATGAATCTAAAACTGCTAGCATAAATATTACTTGCTCACTGATCCATTTATCACACTGCTAACAGATCAAGCCTCATCAAGTTCTATCAGCTTTTTTTGTTATACATATTATTAGACAAGTTTGGTTTCATTTAGTCTCTGAACAGCTACGTTTTATTACAGTCAGAGCTAAATAAAGTTTGCAGGAGACTTGCTGCCATACTTGTTCTTTCACCCATGTAAGCAGAGCAATTAATGAAAAATAATGACAAACCTGGTCTAAAGCTACATCTTCTAAAGGACATCAGTGGCTACAACTGATGTCTATCAATTACTGACAGCAGTAGTATCATTATAAAAATGCAGTTTAAAGTAAATTAGCTGCCAGATTCTTAGCTTCACAAGTCAGTGCTTCCCCAGGGCAACCCTGGCTGCAAACAAGCAAATTCTCTGCTGGTGTAATGAAAGACATTGAAATGCAGAAGCTGTTTCCTGGACACTGATCTACACTCTAGGTATGAGATGAAGAAGGAAGCACAGTGCTTCATGTTAAACCAAAACAGGAAAGAGAGGCAAGAAAGAAGGCAGGCAAGTTTATCCTCAGTTTATGGAGGGAGCTAGTCCAGGGAACAGATACCAGCTTGTGAGTCAGGAACAAAGGTCAGCCACCAAGTTGCTTTCGCCTGTCTACACTGAAAAGTTAAAGGAACAGAGGAAACACCAGTAGCGGAACAGGATTCAGCCAAGTATCTCCTGAAAAATTTAAACCCAAGCATGTCCACAAGAACCGATGGGATGCAACTAAGAGAACTGAGAGAGCTGGCTGATGCCACCATGAGGCACCTCTCTAATCATTAAGATTGTGAAATTAAGATGTTGCAATCTAGATGAGTGGAGAACTAGATAGGTGAAAAACTGGCTGTACGGTTGGGCTCAAAAGTATTGGTTAATGGAACAACATGGAATGTTGTCATAAAACAAAACAGAAGGTTCCAACTTAATATGAGATTAAAAAAACCAAACAGTTTTTGAAATAAAATCTCCGGAGCTTTAGAAAAATGCAGTAAAACAAACACATTATGCAATTAACAATATTTTGCATGTCACCATTTTTGCCATACAAGGTTATGATACACCTACTTAATGCACAGAAATCGCTTCAGAAGGAAGTCTTTCATTATCCTGGTGTATCCAGGTGTATCAAGTTTATAGAAATTATTTTCAGTAACACAGTTGCACTATAAGGTATTGCTTAAAATTCTTGATTATGTCCCACAATATTAGCATTGCTAGGAATAGATATCCTATTCTTGATTATGTAATCAAGAAAAAACTTCTGAAAATAATATTCAGAGTACAAACTACTTTTAATCAGCAGCTAAATACCAAGATACTAGCACTGATTACTTCGTTGCTCTAATGACATCTGTAATGGATTCCAAGTGCTGTGCCTGATTGCTTCCCAGCTGATCAGGATTCTGCTCATTACTTCTAGCTGCTGGAATTCTGAGATTTCTTGGAGTTCTTTTGCAAAAGGCTTTAACCTTGCTTCAGCTACACAGCTACAGTGCATACTTTAAAACAGCCATCATAAACTTTATACTTAGTACTCCATGAATTTGTTCCAGTTGAATATTCTAAAATTCCTTTTAGGAGCACATTTGCTTAACTATTTTATATAACTACATGAAGACACAGGCTTACAAGGTATTGAAGAACATAATTTCAACCAATGAATTAAAATATGGTGGCTTGGATGAGGTAATCATAAAATCATTTAGGCTGGAAAAGAACCTTAAGATCATCAATTAATGAACTGCTCTTTATTGCAGTTTCTTGGAAATTGCACTGGGCAGCTTGAAATATTTATACAACACACAGCACATGCATCACACAATGTAAGTGATCTCAACAGTCCAATCCGTTTGGTGTCTTTCACATACTTGTTAGCAAAATGAATAATGATAATATTTTACAAAACCCTGACAGGTTTGTATTTAAAATATTAAGGAAGTCTGAGACATACTCTGGTAAAAGGGATAATAATGACTGCAGAATTCCATTACTAGGAAAAAACCACAACCATAAAACATGCCACACAGCCATCTAGACACACATATCCAGCCATTCAGTACCCAGCACAAGTCAGAAGAATGCTGGCTCTGTACTTGGCTCTTATTTCTATCATCAGAAAAGCCTTAGAATAATGTTTTTTAAAGTCAATCTATACAAAAGCATTGTTTTTTTTAGCCCTTGAGAAATATCTAAGTAAAATGAAATTAACTTACTGGATTATTTACATTTGTAAGTAAAATAGGATTTAGAACACCTATTATTTGTCCTTAATTTTCTTCTTCTTACAACGGATACTGAAGATAACATTTAAAACAGTTACAACAATTAAAAGTCCTGATCAAAATACTTATTGAAACTCTCTTATAGGAAGGCCAGATGATTCTTAGGAAGAGATTATTTTATGTTCTGTCTCAAACCTGTACTTCCAAAATAACGGAAGTGCATAAAACAATAAAACTGCATAATGGCAGACTTTACACTAGGATCAAGCTACCGAGTTTTTACACAGTAGATTTTATCAAGCTTAAATATGTTGCTTTTTACACTTTCCCACTCTATCACTAAAATCATGTCTGATCAAAACAAAGTCTGTAGCCTGTAAATAATGTCAATCAATTTGACAGCTAAGATACTAAAATCCACTTTGTGGGACACTGCAGGAATTAGTGAAAGGTCTTGAACATGCTCAGAACCTTCCTGTGCAAACAAGAGCTGGCAAGCACCACCTCAGGTGCAAACGGAGTGCAAAGCAGAGTGTAGCATAAAGCACAGAGGACTCTGCAAGCTCACTTGGATTGCTGCACTGTCAGCTACGCAGCTAAGGCTGTCTGCAGTTCTGCTTCTTATCAAGGATAACAAGTAAGACACTGCTTACATCTACTTTGGAGACCACTTGTCAACATCACTTTTTCCTTAAGATGAGTATTTATCTTCTTAAATAGAAAAAAATACCAGTCTGCTTTAAAGTTTATCTGTCACCTTTGTAACTCACTTCTCTAGACGGACTGTTTTTCTTCCTCTGGCTGTACCCAGAAACACTGATTTCTGAGTTCCACATGAACAGGACTAATGCTAATATATTATTTTGCTGACTTTTAGCATTTTAAGCATTTAAATACTGAAGCAGTTAATTTATGAAGCAGTAAGAAGCCAAAAGTTTTCTGAGCTTCACCCGCTTCAGGTGCTCAAAAAGCCAGTTTGTGTTTTGTTTATTTTCTTGGCTTTGTTTTTCCCTCATGCCTTAAGTCCCTAATTTGTCTTCTCAAAGCAATCTGTTGAGAAGAAATTTTCAACATGTCTTCCTAGGTCATTTATTTCAAAGAAAATGTCCTCAGAAATTCCTCACTGAAAAAAAAAAAAAGCAACAAAACTACACCCCTGAAATGAGTATATGGGAAGTCAGATGAAGAAATTGGAGTAACATCTCAACAATCATCCACAATGCACACTTTTTCCAAATATCAAAACAGCAGCATACCAAATCCTATGAAAGAATATTATGAAGTCAAGGAAATCAAATCAGCTGTGTTGCCAATCTGACATACAAAGAAAAGGAGGTTACAATCCCCATTCTACACTTCAAATTGCCTTACCTGGCATTCCATGAATAAGGTCTCCACACAGCACAAAGAACTTGGGTTTAGGGTTTAGTTTGTTAATGGCCTGCACTGCTTGCTCTGCTAGTTTGATTTCTTCTCCCCATTCATCATCACCATTGTTAGTGTCTCCAACTGCCCAAGCTTTCGTAAGTCCAAACTGAGGATCTGCTCCTTGGATAAAGTAGAAGGGCCCCTTCCATTGGTACTCATCATCTAAAAAGAAAAGAGGAGGGAAAAAAAAAAGTCAAGCACTAGAGAAACTTATAAAAAGAATGAAAGGTTTTATGCATCATTAAATCAACTGTTCTTCAGTAAATTGAGGCTACTTTAACGAAAGTACAGGCTCCCATAGTCATTCATATAGGACACATATGAAGGCAGAAGTCCAAAATTTTCCTCTAATGGGTAGCTGCAATAAATGAAAGCATATTAATCTCATTATATCACATGGTAATTACAGACTGATTAGAGAAAAAGTATGTGAAGAATTCAGCAAATAGAGCTGGAAATTACACAACTGCAACTTCGCACAAGTATATAACATCAGATTTAATTTGATTCTTTTAAGACTCCAATTATTGCTTCTTTAATTAGCTAGTTAAAACATACACAACACATTTCACATTTTATGGTTCCAGTAGACTTGTCCTTAAACTATTAAGGGGTTAAATGCTTTTTGTTCTTATACTTCTAAACAGAAGCTGGTTGTAGCACATTCTTTGGAGTTAAAACTGAAGACACTCAACAGGACCAAGGTCAGCAAATGCAAAATCCAGCAACATCAGAATTAGCAGTAACAATGAAAATCCTAATTTGGAACTGCCACAACAGTTCCCAAGACCTACTTAGAACTCAGAAACAAATTTGCATTGGTAGTGTTAGTGCAGATGGAAGGTACTGACTACATCAATCTATAGCTGAATCTAAAAAAAATATATTGCAAATTATTTCAAATTAAAAACTAATCCATAAGTATGCTCCGTATTATGTTAGTCTGGTCTGAAATACAGTTTAAGACAAAACTAATATTCCCGTAACAGTACCTAAGCAAGCAGCATGTCCACTGCATGGATTTACTTCTGGTTTTCTTCCAAGTAATCTAGAACTACTAGTTGCTACTTGGCAAGAAGTGGAGCATGTTTCCTTCAAGGAAGGTTAGAAAACAGAGGTCTGAATTAATCTGTTGGATACAGATGGGCTAGGGTGAGGGAAAGGAATGTGGTCAACTCCTGAAAGGTGCTTGTAATTTTTATCTCTTGCTGTGTCATCAGATAATTTTGCCAAATGCAAGCTTGTACATTTTTAGCCATTCATTACTCTTAATTCTGAAATGAATTTGACTTTTCCAGCTACATAACTTATTCAGAGAAGTGAAATGATCCACCTCTCCATGAGATTGCAATAGAAGCCTTATGGAACCAACTGAATGACACAAAGTAATTTAGGTTTTTTTATGTCTTGAATGGCAAAATATGACTGACATAAAGAACAGCTTACATGCTGCATCAAAGGCATTGTTTATGCAGAGAAATCAACTTACAGTTTGCATAAGTGGAAAGCTACAAAAAAACCCACAACAGTTAAGAAAGACTGAATCTACAATCCTTTATTACCTATACAAAATAAAACTTTAAAAAGGGAAAATCTGAAGCAGGAACTTGCTTTGGAAGAGTAGAACAATCCTCAAGCTCATTAAATGGGAAAAAAGCTCAGATCTTTGAACTAAGTGGCAGGATTTTTAACACCTGTCCCTTTTCCAACGACTCAGCAGACAGTATTGATAATCAATGCTGAGCAAAATCTACTTGTTTTGCAAGGATTAATCTGAAGCCAGTCATTTTCATCATAGTAACCTACATAAATTATAGAGATATACATCTATTTTTACAGGAACTACTTAGAAAATACAGCCAGTCTTTGTTCTAAAAGACTGTGTTTCAATTATAGACACACTGTTTCCTTTTCCAGAGCCCCAGGGATGGCAGGCGATGGCCAAAGGCAGCTGGAGCACCTGCAGCAGGCCAGGCAGCTGTCAGGCAGATTGGCTGGCCTGGGTGGCAGTACTGGACCACATCCCAGGTAACAAGGAGCTTCATATATAATACTTGGAGAGAGAGAAGCCTGGCAAACAGTGCAGTCAGGGAGCCTGCAGAGCTGGCAAAACAGGTTGCAAGGCCAGACCAGGGGCTATTATAATATATGCTTCATGGATATTATTTTCTTCCTGCCTTATATTCATGCCAGTGCAGTAGCTCTCTATGTTTTAAGTACCTGAATGTTTCCAAGGCTGTGCACAGATGATCTGGTTTGAGTGGGTGAGTGATGGTCATGTGAGGCAGAGAGACAGACAGTGATAAGATGAATTTGAAAAGAGAAGTTCAGTACACAGACAGAATCAAGAAGTGGCAGAAGAAAGGAGAAACAGAAGATGCAGGGGTGTAGGTGAAGAAGATTGGGGAGAAAAGGAAAGAGATAGGAGGTGAAAAGAAACTGAAAATGATGCAGAAGTATATGCTATATTCTCCTGTAGGAAATAAAAATGATAAAATGAAAAAAGAGAAGCAGGGACAACAAAAATCATCCAGGAATCAGGGCAACATAAGTAACATTTACTTACAATGTTTGTTTACCTAAATGGTCTTAGTCAAATAATTCCATCAACAGCTATTTGATTATTTCATATTTGATAATTTACCAAAGAGTCACAAAAAATAGCGGTAAGGTTGGGTAAGTATTTTCTACATTTGTGTTTTTATTTGATCAGTCCAACTAGAAACCCTATTTAAAAACAAAGCCAGTACTTAAACCAAATTCTGTTAGCTTAATACTTAGCAAATGGTACTTACACATTTGGCTTAGTACTTAGTGATTTTGCTCCCCATTAAGTAAAACAATATATGAGATCGAAATAGCATATGGACACGGTTTAAACTTTCAACTTAAGCTTTTATCAGGAATGTGTTTCAATTGCTATAAAGCAGAAAATAATGAAAAGAGTTGTATTGGTACAACACCACTGAGGCAAACTTGAATCTACACCAACTCTTAAGCCTGTTCTGAATTCATCTCAACCAGGAGCCCTCACTGGTTGCAGAGGAGTTCATGTGAGCTTTCCTTTATCTGTGTGAGACATAACATCAGGCCACCTAAAGTGTTGCAACTAGTGCAATTTGGCTAATTTTAGTTAAACTCCAGAAGCACACCTGCACAAGTGCTCTTTCAACTGATCAATATGGTAAGAAGGAAGCAATGCGAAACAGAATGCAAATGCATCTACTACTACCATAGGTGGATTTAGAAGTCTTTTGCCTGGCAATGAAATTATTTAACAATGGAACACGTTCAGGTAATTATTAACTGTCCTGGTTTGAGCCAGGATGAAGCCAATTTTTCTTTTTACTGATTTTTTTTTCCTTCAGTAAGCTCTCTTGTAACTAGCAACAGTGTGTTCTGCTAGGCTGATAAGACAGTGGAATGTTTTTCTAACTACTGAGGCTTCAAGGCTGCACCTGCACTCTGCCAGCTCAGACACTATGGGGAGATCTGTGACCCCCCCGTAGGAGGCTGAGTTAGACGGACAGCAAAATTGGCCAAAGATATTCCATTCCATATATCTACGTAAGCTCAGAGGAAGGTCAGAGATCACAGAAGACAACTTCCTTCCTTCTTCTTCTCCCCTTCTCTTCCGTCCATGGCCGGTGTCCAGGGAGGACTCTGTTCATCCATCACCGTCGATCCTCAGGCTTGATCTCTCGTGACCCCCATAACTCTCTGCTTTCTCCAGCAGCAGCTTCGGGATTCCTCAGGACTCTTCCCAGTTCAGGGAAGTGCTGTGGGAGTTGCTGGGGTGGGGGGAGGCAAGAGGCTTTTGCCTACACCTGAATATATCTGTATATAATTGTATATATTCTCTTGTATCATTCATTAGTGTTTTAATTAAAGCTGTGTAGTTTAGTTTTCAATCCAGCCAAGTCTCTCTCTTTTTCTCTCTCTCCTTCCCTACCTGGGTGGGAGGGGGAGGGGATCGACAGCATTGTTGTCGGACCTAAGTCAAACTGTGACATTAACAAAACTTCTGCACCCTACTTCTCTCCCTCACCATCTGCTTGCTAGCACCCTCAAGAAGAACAGGTATTGTAGGCCATGCAAATGAACCTTGTCTGCTTAAGCAGTAAGTCAGACACCACACTTTTTTTTTTTTTTTAATTTGCACTGAATCACAAGAAGAGTGTTCAGATAAATCATTCTGTGGTATGCTACGGGAATGCCAAAGTCTGGCAGAGGATTAGTAACAAACAGCACTGGGCACAAATGGTGGGAGGGGGCACAGCTGCTTTGCAGTGAGAATCAAAGTCATGATCCAGGTCCTAGATGTTACTCCACAAGATTTCAATTAAATAGCATGTAGAGTTGCTATCTTCCCTTCAAAAACAGTAAGCAACAACTTCTATGGGAATGGCATCAAAGGTGCCCCTTCTGGCTAGGAGTTTCAATTTTCAAGTCCACGCAAGGTCAGGTCCATTTTTCAAGCCTTTCCATGGGCGATGCAGTTGTAAAGTGCATGCCAGGTAGAGCAATAGACGATTAGGATTCAATTAACAAACATTTTTTTCTGCTGTCTCACTTGCATTGCAGAATTAAGCAGAGCTGAAAATACCTGCAAATTGGCTCTTCGTCCCTATGAGCATAGAAGCTCTTTGCAACTTTCATAATTTACCACAGCAGTAAGAAAATACAAATGGCAGACCAAAGGCAGCACATTTCTCAGATAATTGATGTACGTACAGCTTCCATTGCAGAAGGATAAAACATGTCTGTGGAGCTGCTCTTACACATAGAACCATGCAAAACCCCTCTTTTGTTCCCAGGCCTCTTTAAGAGCTGCACAGCTGATTGCCACGGAAGAAGTCCAACTTCAGAACACGTTGTTATGCCTCAGTTTCAATAGCTACCCACTCTTTTTCTGCTCCTGTGCATGCCAAAGTACAGAGGGAGGATCAATGCATGTAATTACTAAAATGTAATTTTAGTAGCATAGGCTGAAAATTTGTGCCAGCTTCTAATTTTATATAAGGATTAATTCTGTGAAGGGCCAAAATAGTCAGCAGCAATTCACAAGTGAAAACCTCAGCCATGTATTGTGATAACATAAAAAGACACTTCAACAACCTAAACGGGATTTAAGCTGGACCTCACAATTTCTAGAGGTCAAT